TATAATTTCTCATGTTCTTTTTGACATTTAAAAAACATAACTAGATCACCTGTATTTGTTAAGATCTAAGACAAAAGCATTTGGGATAAACACATTTCATAGAGACCAATTTCTTAATTTATCAAAGAACATGAGAATATACTTCTTACTGTTTCCTAAAACTAAGGGTGTAATGAGGTTCTATAATCTATAATTGTTAGGTAAAATCGAATTAGTGTTCTGTTTTGATAATCTGTGTAGGTTTATTCAAAATTGGTTCTTGATTGGTGGACCTTCATGATTAGTTTAGGTTAAATGTAAAACCAAACCTCTTCCTTTATCTTGTGCAAGAGAGCCACAGTGAATGTCAAATATGTTTTCAAAGTTGTGCAACTAATATTTGTTTTATTGTTCTGTAGGGTTTTCTTGATTTGCGACTGAAGCCATGGATTAGGAACTTCTTAACTCGATGCTTAGCCATAGTTCCAAGTTTAGTTGTTTCACTCATTGGAGGCTCTGGTGGGGCTGGAAACTTGATCATTATTGCTTCGGTAAAGTATCTGTACTTAAGCTTTTTGTACAGTTATAGAACACTAGCTGGTATGAAATTGGATAATCTAAACTTGACAAGTGGACTGACTGTTGGGGTCTTCCACTTGCGTGAACTAGGTCTATGTATTCTATACCCCCAAAATGTTAAGAGGTCGTTTGAGTCCTCCACCATTTATGCTGAGCTCTTTGTTTATATGTAACAACAGTTGAAAATAAATTGACCTTATTATATGGATTATTCATGAGTTTGATAAATAACAATAAAAAATTGATATCCTTAAAAGGACCATGGACTTGCTTAGAGGAGTGGAACATTAAACACATGCATATTTGAATTGGCACAACCCAGTTGTCATTTTCTAGATATTTCTAGTCTTACCATACAAATATAGGTGCAGATTCTTATTTGGGATACATAATTGCTATATCGGGGTACACTTGGTACTCACTTTAGTTAAGAACATTGACATTAAAAGTTTATTGCTAATAATACAAACATGATACATAACTGAGGTCTCATTTTTAATATGGTTGACAAAATTTTCATGAGAAGTTCTTATTCTAGATTGTTAAATATTAATCCAAATATCTTATCTGTTATTCTGCAGATGATCCTATCTTTTGAGCTCCCCTTTGCTCTGATTCCATTGCTCAAATTCACAAGCAGTAAGACCAAGATGGGTTCACACGCAAATCCAGTTGCGGTGAGAGATCTTCTAGCTTATTTAATTTTTGCATACTATTGTTGCACCAATGAGAATACAGGAGTTTCATGTGTAAAAAACTAAAAATACTGATGAAACAAATGTAGCTTACTTAATGATGCAACAACTAATTCCAAGAGCACCTGATTTTACAGTATCAAGTTTGGGTCAACTGTAGCAGGTCCTTAGTCTCTAATAGTATAGAACTCTTGCTCTCTTGATTAGGATAGTCGACTTTCTGATACAAAACCTGCATGCAAAAAGTTAAATTCATTCTATCAACAGTTGCATAGCATCAAACTGAAACACATTGGGTAACAATAAAGGAGTTTGGGAGTTCAAAAGGTACGACAATGGGCTTCCCTTTCTTTGCATAATTAGCTTAGGCCGTAATACCCAATCACCTTTCTTGTTAGTAGTTTGAAAATCGTTTATGTGTATATTCCACAACACGTTTCTATGCCTATGACTTGGCCAAAAAGTTCTCTCTGCGTTCTTGGTTTGCTTTCTTATCTCGATTACTAGCAACACTGTCCAACCTTTGTTCCACATTGACTGATCAATTTTTTCCGCTACAACTTTTTACAGGTTTCAGCAGCTACCTGGGTTATTGGTACACTAATCATGGGAATAAATATATACTATTTAGCAGAAAAGTTAATTACCTCTATCAAGGATGGCCATTTAGGAAAGGCGTCTAAAGTTCTTTGTGGACTGTTAGGTGCCTCATGTTTGTTAGGTTATCTGAGCAGTATCTTATACTTGGCTTTCCGGAGAAATAAGGAAGGCACACATCTTCTGGCGCTTACAGGGCAAGAAGGTTTACAAGTTTCTGAATTGAACAATCTACCTAGAGAAGACATTTTACGTATGCAGTTGCCTCAGCAGAGGACCACTAATTGACATGTTTACTGAAGGGTTAAATGTAAACAGATACTGTGTGCAATTCAGTTAGAACTCGTATCGTCTTAACCTGTTTTCATAGGCATTATTGCCAATGATCCAGTGTTGTAATGTTAGAGAATTAGTTTGAAATGATGAGAATCCCATATAGACTTTCTATATAAGAGAGAACTGCTTATGCCTCCTGGAAGGCCATATATGAAAATTAAATTAGCTGTTATCTACATTTCCTTGATCTTTAGTTTTATCTATATTTCCTTAATCTTAGTTGGTTGTTAATCATGTTTAAGGAATGTTTTCTGATGAGAAATTTAATGTTAATATGTCTCGTTAGCTCTATCATCTATGTTCCCTTAGCATGTTTGACCAAAACAATCGGTGGATCGTTGGTGGGGTCTTGACTAATTCATATTCGAGTCGTGTATGAAAAAATTTAATTGGATTCCAAAGAGGGCTGAGGAAGTCCCTTTCCCCCAAATTAATCTTTGGTACGCCATTTCAACTTTGATGAATAGTAATGATGATTGTAACACAAAACAATAAGAGTTAGAAAAGTCCTAATTTCATTTTACTTGTTTGGATTATCTGTGTGTACACAAAAAATTAATTACCATCTTTCATTTTTCTAACAATTAATTGGCCAAAGCTCTGTTTAATATATGAGGCTCTGCTAGTTCTGAGTTTTCAACTTAATTATCTCCTCCTCATGTTAGTTCTTTTTTAGTTGACATTCCTAAGGTTCTAATAAGTGATTGTCAATTCTGCCTAAAAGTCTTTTTTTTTTTGTGGTAATTTAATGAAGTCTAAAGTCTTGCTAATGTAGATAAGACTAACTAGAATAGACTGATTAATCCACATAGTGACAAACTCCAATTGAAAGGAACCACATTTAAGCTAGATAGAAATAGGGGTAAGCACTATTTGAGTTAAATTGAAAAATTAAGTAAGTTAAATCGAATTCTAATTTGGATTGGATTTTGGATTTATTATTTACTTTGTTTAGATTTTTGGTTTGATATCGGATTAGAGAAATGAAAATCGAAAAACCAAAAAAACAAATTTATATAAATAAAAAAAAGTATACTTTTAATATATGATTAGTTTTTAGTTATTTTTATTATGATTAGTTTATTTTTGGACATCTATAATTGATATATTTTTAAGTATTGTGTTTTACATTTTACTTGTGATTTATATTAAATAGTATATTTAAAATTGCATATTGACATAGCCGATTAACCAAATTGAAAAAATCCAGAATAAAAAAGAGAAAAACCAAACCAAATCTATTTTGATTTGAATTGAGTTACACTTTTTCAAATCAAAAATCAAAAAATTCAAATTGAATAAGTATAAAATCAAACTGAAAAATCGAATGCACGCCCCTAACTGGAAAGGTGCATAGGCAACCCATTTCTTAAACAATAATTTTTGCAGCATCAATCACTTAATGATCCTAATGTGTCATGTGTATGTGGAAGTGAGTGATTTTCGTTTTTGATAGCATACAAGAGCAAAGAAAAAGTGAAAAAAAAAACAATTAGTTTCTTGTAACTTTAAATGTAATAAACAACAAAGATTGTAATTTATGGTGTTAATAGGAACTTTAACATATAATTTTAAGTAGGGGTGTACAAGATCGGGTTGATATGGGTTTTTTAAAAATCAAATCAAATTAATTATGTCGGATTTTTGAATTTATAAATCAAACCAAATCAATAAAATTTGGATTTTTCAACTTCAGATTTTTCGAATTTCTTTGATAATGTATTCATACAAACATATAATTTACTTGTACCTAAAATATTTCTTTAATCCTATCAAAATGCAACTAGCTAAATTATTTTTCGAGAAAATAACCAAAAATATGATATGATTAATGACACTAAAATATCCAACAACAAGAAGAAAAATCGCGTAAAACAAATATTGCAAATTAATAAGCTATAATGAAATTGATCATAATTTAAAGTACTAAATCATGCTAAAATAAGTTTAGTAAGTATTAGTTACATGACTAAATATTAAAAGAAAGTAAAATTAAATCATGTATTTTAATTGTCCAAATCTATGTAAAACTAAAAAACAAATATTCAATATTATTTTTATTCTTATTGTTGAATTGATTTCTTTTTGCATTAGTACTAATTTTATTTTTATGTTAAGAATTCTATCTTTCAAACATGAAATAAATATATTAAAAGATAAAAATTATGAAAAATTATAAGATATATTTAAAAATTACATCAAATAAGTATTATTACATATAAAATAAAATTTTAATTATATATATATAATATCAGATTGATTTGATTTTCGGTTGATTTTTTTAAGTTGAAACCAAATTAACCCAAATATAATCGGATTTCTTTTTTCAAACTCAAACCAAATCAAATCAAACCACCAGTCACTTTCAAATTTGTTAGAGTAGGTTATATAAATCCATTTTTTTTCTAATATAAAAGTTGGTAATTGCATGCATGTATGATATAATATAAATGCAACGATCCCAATTGAACTTTAAATCTCAATTAGTTGATACTACATGCATAAGGACAAATCATAACTGTACTGTATGTAGACTTCAAAGTGATAATACATTGACAATATTAAAAAAAAAAAAATCTAAAAGTTAACTTCACATTGTTATTGTTAAAGAAATATGAGAATATATATTTGGATTTTTTTTTCTTTCTAAGTAAATTTTTTTTTGAAACACAAAATTAGGAACACTACAAACATTTCATAAGCACACGCAGTAGCTCTTTTTTTTTATTTTAATTTGGTACAAAAAAGAGGGAAGCCTTTTAACATTAATAATCGTCCCTTAATACCAGTTAATTAAGAGCTAATTAATTATAATTAAGAGTGAATTTTAATAGGTTCATCATTTTGAGTAGGAACTGGAAGGTGACCCTTCTCCTGCAGACTCTTCACTGTCTCATATAAGCATTGTTTCACTGGCGTAAACTCCAAACCCAAGTCCTTTAGCTTTTGGTTCGTGAATATGTACGGTTTTGCCCTTGGCCTCGTTTCATCCGAGCACCTGAACATATGATAATTATGATCATCAAACGTGATTAATTACTAATCATTACATATCAATTTCAGTTTAATAATCGTTAGAGATGATTATTAAAATTACTTAAAAAAGCATGTCCCCTCCCACCATTGTTGACACTAAAGATGTCTGGGACCGGGACCAGACAAGATTTTGATGTTTTTGTAGGTAAAGGCAAATTCAGGTCGAGAAATCTTGTTAGAAACATACTTGGATGTTTGTAAATGGGTACTTTTATTATTGTTTCTAGCATCAATACATAGTCAAATTCTTTAATAAAAGTATATATTATACGATTTTGGTTGTCGGGTAATCTACTAACACATCACTCCTTCAAACAAAAGAAATTTAAAAAAGAACTACATTATCTAAGCGCTCGTCCTGTTTAGCTACAAAAGCTGTCTGGTTTCTTTTTGTACTGCGCGTGTGTATATATATGTTTCAAATAATGATAAAAATTTTGCTGAAAGATTTGGTAAGTAAAATTACTTGGTGGGGATTGGATACTCCGGGAAGAATTTGGCGAGAATTTCAACCACATCACCGCGATGAAGCACGCGCTCCGCGCAGATATAGCGGCCAGATGCAGAAGGAGCTTCGTAGAGAAGTATGTGGGCTAGTGCCACATCCTTAACATGAACATACGCCTGAATTGAATTGGCATATGTTTTAGCAGATCCAGTTAGGTACTTTAGTATGTGAAGAACACTGGCATTCACTGTTGGTTGAAGCAGTGGTCCAAGCACCAAAACTGGATTAATCACAACCAAATCCACTCCCTTTTCCCTTGCCTCATCCCGCGCTGTCTTTTCCGCCACTGTCTTCCCATAGCAGTACCAATTCTGCATAAACATATCAAGTAAATTGACATTATCACTATCAATTGTCACTATCATTTTTCCAATTTGAGGTACTAGCGGACCTTAGTATTCTTGCAGTAGTCAAGATCACTCCAGCAAGTCTCGTCCACAACTTTATCAGGGGCCCGGTTGGGGTCCATGTATACTGTACCAATTGAAGAAGTAAACACAACTCTGCGAACTTTGGTTTCTGCTGCTGCTGTTATCACATTCTTGGTCCCAATAACTGCTGGCTCCACCATTTGTTCCTTCACCATTTATCAACCAAAAACACCACAAATAGTGTAAAAAAGAATATATTTCAATTTGCATGCAGAGTGATCCAAATCATATTCAACGAAAAATACGGTTCATGTATAAGATTTAAATTAATTTTACTATATGGTAAATCATAGAATATTCTTCGGTTCCTTTCGATATTTATTTGCGAAAAATTTTAACTCCGGCGCGCTCGAGGCATGTATTAGTAGTTAGTGGAACTAAAAGCTGAAACAACTTTGCTAGTGCGTCTTCGATGTGTCAGCTGATGATCAATTATGGTTACAGACGTGGGCCCCCAATTTACGTAACAGATCGAGATCCTTCCTTTTTCTTTTCTTTAGTTAATTTTTTAAAATATACTGTACGCCATATTTCAGTCTCTTCCATCCCTGTTCTTTTCGATAAATCTCAATCAACCACTAACAGAAAATGAAAGGAAGAATCCCAGAGCACTAGACTAGAGAGCTAATTGGCTCTAAACAATCCCGTGAAGCAATTCTAATGGCTTTAATTCTAAATAGTAGTACTATTTTGTGATTTTCCTTATTTTAAACAATAATAATATATCTAGTGAAATCAGATAGTATACGCAGATCTCACCATGACTACTTTGTGCGGGTAAATAGACTGTTTTCAAAAGCTCAAATGCTTACATTTAAACCAAAAAAAAAAGAAAAACATGAATGCTTACTGGATCATCAGTGACAGGGGAGGCGGTGTGGAAAACTCCGTCACAGCCATAAATTGCTTCTCTCAAACTCTGATAGTCTAGAAGATCAGCTCTCAACAGAATCAGTCTCTCCTTTGCACCTTCAAGTTCCTTCAGGTGACCATTTTTGGAATCATCTGCGCACATTTTTACAATAATTTTTTTTTGAATCAATTGGGAAATGCATCATGAATTTTGCACAAAAATTAAATGTTAATTTTACCAGGGTTTCTAACGGTTCCTCTGACAGTGTAGCCTTTTTCTAGAAGGAGTTTAACGAGCCAAGAGGCAATGAAACCGCCGGCGCCGGTGACACAAACAACTTTGCCGGATTCTGATGGCATGCTTACTTTTGTTGCCGGTGGAATAAATTGTGAAGAGAAAATAATAGGAAAAAGAAATAGCGAGTGATCTCAAGTTAATGGAAAGAGAGAAAATGGAGAGTTTATATAGAGTTGGAAAAGCAAAAGCCAAATATTCACAAACGTACCTACTACTACAGACAGTAAATATTCTTTCCTTAGCCCCTCAGACAGTTATAAGTTATTTTCGATATATTCTCGATTTATCATAGCATCTTCATATATATGTACATGCTAAAGCCCTGTTTTTATTAATTGAAATTAATTTAATTTCAATAATGAATTGATTAAAAGATGATTAGTTTAAATTCATACAAGGAGACTGTATAATTATTTTTCATTTGACGTGAAACTATTCAAACTACGTCCCATTTTCCAAAGAATATGAGATTTGCAAAGGCTCTTCAGATAACAATCAGTCTCCTCCATGAAACGTCAACGTAAGTCCATTTCTTCGATACACGCCATGTGAATTCTTATGAATAAATATGAAAATTAATTAAAATGCACCTTTGTCCTAAAATTTTATCCCTTCGTTTTTAATTAATTGTCCATTTTAGAAATGACACATATATTAAGATAATAATAATTAGCATAATGAAGTCATAATTTTATCCTTATTAATTATGATTTTAAAAATGATGAATTGAAATTTGAAAATTTACAATAAATTTAAATGAGAGTATAATAAAAAAAATTTTTAATCCTTTTTTGATCTGTCAAACTAATTAAGTCAATAGAAACAACTAAAAAAAATATGAACAAATAAATAGAAACAGAAGAGTATTAATTTTTGGCAAAAAAGTTGTCATGGAAACTTTGAATAGTTTTGTGAGTATGAAGCACAAGCATAATTCAGGCCAAGTATAATTTCAAACTCTTATATATCTAAGTTTAAGTTTTTTTTCTTTTATGTTCTAAATTATCATAAAATAGGGAACTAATTAATGAGTTCAATATTTCTTCTTTTAGATGCCACAACATCAAATCTTTACATAAAAAAACTCCACCTTTATCAGTGGTTTCAGCTGGTTGCTCAAATTTGTATTTTGAGTACATTTATACTTCATCGTTATTTCTTAACCTACATCTTAAAACTAAATTATTTGATGTAATGTGTTTATATTAATTCAATTTATTCATGTCATGCGTTTAAATTTATACTTCATTTTATTTAATTTTAATGAATTAACATGTGTTTTACGTTAATTGAAATTACAATTGAATTGATTTAAATAGCGCGGGTAATTTTGTCAACTTCAATCCAATAGCATTTATGGTTTTGGCACTTGTCTTTGTTTGCATGGCTCATCTTTCAAGCTAAATTTAGAGAAAGCAAGTGAATGAGCTAATTAGTATAATCCTATTTTTTCTCTTTCACTTTTTTCATTGAAGAAATATTTGGAAATAAAATATCAAGTACAAAATGTGGTGTTGTTGTTTTAGTTATTTTGGTTTAGATTATATTTAATATTTTGAAATTTATTTAGAATTTTTATTGATATATATTATACTGATCAATTTATCATATAAATGTGTAGAACTTATCATTAAAGAAAAAAAATCAATCCAAATGATCAATTATGCTTTTTGGTTGGTATAAATAGTAAAAAAAATGAACCATAAAGATATAATATACAAGAATACTCTTTCAAATATGGAAAAGAATAATAATAATAATCGTGTTTCTAGGTTTAATATTTTATGTTTCTGTGTATATTTTTATGGTCAAATAATCTCTTTATAATGACATTATTTATCCAATATTTCTTTCGTGTTATAACTATATGTTATTACTATATAAAACATATAATATATATAACATAATATGGAAATCAATTCCCTAAAAAAGAGCTTATGTGTTTAGGTTTCACTTCTCTTACTAATAATTAGATTATTTATTAGGATAAGAAAGGGATTATTGTTCTCTAGAAGATTAATGAGGAATTTAGTTGTAGACGCATCATAAGATATGGGGTTTGACAATTAAGTTTAAACTAATTTAGAGTTATTAATTAATCAAGTATAGATGTAATAATAACATATAATTACATACTCATTATAATTAAATCTAGAAGCATAGTAGTTATTCTTTTGTACTATTTATTATGTACATATCTGATTATATGATAGAATTATTCAACTCTCATTTGAATATATATATTTAGGATCCCAATTCTAAAAATAATGATTTCTCGAGTAGTTAGTAAAAGAACGTTCCATTCTTATAAAAGTTATTTATGTCATTTTATTGACAAATTAATTGAGACAATTATTTTTTGTTTTTTACAATCTATCGATTTAGGTGAGATGTATCTTAAGTTAGAATCAAAATTTTAAAAACGAAAATCATAATCTTTTTCAAGATCTATCATATTAGAATGTAAATTGTTCTTTCTTTCTAACGATCGAATAACTGAAAAAAAATCGGTATATCTGATTTGACAACCACAAGATTATTATTTATGCTAGGAAAAGTTTTATATTTCTATTGTAGTTTATTATTAAACTAAAATTACAATCGAATATCTACACATAATACCTCATTATTTTAGACTCATTAATTTCATACCTTAACATATCACTGTTAATTTGAATCAGTCTTTAACGATAACATCCGTCATACAGTTATTTCTAAATATAATAACCTAATCGAAACTGAAATCACAATACGATAATTATAATTTTACTAGAATCATAATTCACAATCACGCCACATGTTTAGTTATATTCACATTAGATAAATGATTTGTAGTTCGTCTATCACACAATCACCAAGTTATATTCACGTTAGATAAATAACTTGTAGTTCATCTATCACACAATCACCAAGCCCCATAAACTTGATAAGTGTACAAATTATCTTTTCAGATTTTACTTTGTGTGAACACGCTTGATTTATTATATGTATATATAGCTAATTAGAATTAATTTAAATTTGAAAAACTTATAATGTAATTACTCATCGATAATTATAAGCTACAAGTTGGAATCTATTTTCTTGGAATAATTATCATTATCAGAGTTGGTCTAGATGGATACTGGCTATTAAAAAAAAGTAATTAATTACTACAGCATACATCCTCCACATTATAATTTCATTATATTTAAGTCTATAATATTTTGGATCATTGACGGATTTATAGTACATGCAAATTGTCAAGAGACAACAGCAAAGAAAAATCAGAAGTAGATATTGTTTGGAATTAAAATAGGAACCATGTTTTTTTTAAAAAAAATTATATTATTATCATAAATCTTAAACGATTATTATTATTACTATTATTATTTATTTATAACGATATAGTAAGAGTTTGGTATAGTAAAGTCGAAGACGCAAAGACAGATTATTGAACGTACAAATAAAAAAGGCTTTTCTCCTATCAATAATTTTAGTTAAATACATTAGGTAAAAGGTGATGTGCCCAACATATATTAACATTTACAATTTTTTTTTAAAAAAATTAATATGCAGCAGTTTATAAATAAGGTAATATAATTATATAACCCATGTATTGTTTAATTCTTTTCACACGTGGACTTGTTATGATATTGCTAAATCAATTCAATTTATCATGAAGTCTGTTTTTTGTTTGAAAAAAAATAAATTAAATCTATATTATTTATTGCAGGCTAGGAGCTATAGCACAAATATAGTTAAGATTTTCAGTAGGTGAGTCGGGGCGGTTTTATTATATATAGTTAAAATAAGTTTTTATATATATATATATATATATATATATATATATATTGTA